TTGACGCTGTATCCGAGGCAATCTCGTTCGATTCCAGTCAAAGGTGCTAAGCTTTCGTCTGTCATATGACGGACATCCTCAGAGCGAGGTAACATCATCACAACAAATTTCAAGCTGACGAGTCAAGAAAACTCACCGGCAAATCCGTTTTCTTGACTCGTTGGCTTGAATTTTGTTGTGACGATGTTACCTCGCTCGGATGATGCTCGTCAAATGACGGACGAAAGCTTAGCACCTTTTCACCGGAATCGAATGAGATTGCCTCGGAAAAAGCGTCAGCATGAATCCCCCAGTAGAGCAATCGACAGCTGGTCGAGAGGAATCCGCTGTCGTCTTCTGGTGGAACCGACCTTCGAATCTCTTCACCCAACACTTCTACTCGAAATGGAAGTAAGCTCTAACTATCTCTGGCTGCTAAATATAATTATATATATATACATATAAAATCATAAGAATAATTAATTAGTAGTGAAGGAAGAAAAAGGAATGACACTGGTAATTTTGGATAAAACTGAGTATGTAGAAAAAATTCTGACGAAGAAGAAACTCGTAAGACTATGATTGTTACCCGACAGAAGGCCATAAAAACCATGATGATATATATATATATAGGGAGAGAGAGAGAGAGAAAGAGAGAAAGAAAGAAGGAAAGAAGGGAAGAGAAAGAGCCACCGAGTAAGAGAAGACTTGACTAAGCTGGAGTGCGTTTTCGAACCTAAAATTGCCAACCAACTCGCGGTGGTTGCATACATACTCGAGCACGCATCCCAACAATTCTAACAAAAATCAGGAGTACAGAATCATACATTAGTTTACTAACATAGACAAAAGTGTGACCAGATCCATTCCTCTTCCTGTATCACGTTGACCCTCTTACATGCATGTAGGACAAGCATACAACAGCCAATGAACGCATGGAATGCCTCATTAAGATGGCAAAGTGAGGCATAAGACGTTAAGTGGGATCTCAACTGGTCACCTTTCTTCATTTCGGTTTTTGGGTGATTTTTTGTGAATCCTGCTAGCTGCATCTGACGATGCCGGTCACATGACGGACGAATGTTCAACACGGAGTCATCGGGGTCGCAAGACCATGAGCCGAGGTCTTCTTCGCACAATTCAACAGACAAATGCCCAAGACAACCCTTCTGCGGTATCGGGTGCGACCAATCTACGAATCCTTTCGACCCGCCTTCCCAAACCAACTGAAAGGTAGGTCAGTATCAAAGGCCCCGATGCCTGAAACTGTCATGACAACTCGAGAGCAGAGTACGTCGGAGTCGCGGTGTGTCGCGGGCAAAGTGACATCAACTCAACAGTCAAGGGCAAACAGGCTTGACGTCAACCGGTGCAGGAGCCGCGAAATGTGGTATGGAAAAGCTGGGGAAAAGCGGTTGTGATGTGGCCAATGGCCGATAGGCCTGAGTGGGAGAGGAGATTTACGCACCGACAGAGCCCATCCAAATTTGTCATCAAGAGGCCTAAAAGCCACTGGGCTGTCGGAATGAGAAAAAGATTTATATGACAACCAAAAGGTCAATTAAGTTTGGGCTAATTTAACCGACAATTTTGCGCATTTGTGTCGGTGATGACCCATTCTTGTCTGTAGGTGCTCCACTCTGTCTGCCCATATGCCCGTACGTCTTGTCCAACAGCCTTTGAGTCTAATTATGTGCGTGTGTGTGTGTGTGTGTGTTTCTACGTCAATCATCTCGCTTCTCCGCCAAATGATAAGAATGGAGTGGTGCCAAAACTGAACGTCCCTCTTTGTGTCTGTACGCATGTCTGACTGGCTGGCCGGATAGTTGGATGGACGGATGGACGGATGGATGACCACTTGTGTGATCTGTCAATTGGCCATCTCAGCCCGACTGGGAGAAAGTAAAGCGGTCCACACAATGGAGCGGTTTCAAGAGGAGGGATTGCGTGATGCTGACGGTCTGAAAGAGCCGGAGAAATCGGTATTGTCCACTCATTCTGTACCCCTACATTAGCCGAGTTGGGCGCTCAGCTCAACGCAACTTTGCTTGTCCCCAACTATCGAGACGACGTAGCCATCCCGTCGGCGTCAGGACTCAATCGAGTATGGGGCTCGGAGGAGAAATGCATCATTGCTCCTCCTACTCCTCTCTTACTCACTATCTCTCTCACTCTGTATGTGTATGTGTGTGTGTGGTTGTGTATGTGTGTATCATTGTCCCTCTATCTGTGGTGAACAGGCCGGTAAGATGGGCAAAGGGTGGATGATGAAGAGAGATCTGCAAGGGTGCATAACAGGGTCGGCCTGATTATGGCTTGACCCGTCACGGTCTGTCCAACGAGACGAGTTTTTATTTTTTTTCTATTCATAGCTCTAGTCCCTTGGCAAGTGATGCTTGCACAGGCCGGCTTCGCATCCAGTTGTCGGGGTGTTGGCTGGCCTCGTCACGTATTAACCAGTCGCGGTGCAACCGAAGCGTATCATGTCGTCAAGTCAGTGAAGCGCCAAATGTTCATTGGAATGATCAGGCCGGAGAGTAACGATGCGATTAGGTCGAGGCCGAGGTCAGGAGATGAGAGAAGAAAGTTCAGTTGATCCGGAAACCCCGCCCAGGGCGCAGGAAGCAGAATCGCATTGTAGGCTCGGGAATAATGACGATGACGCCAGGTTAACGTTTGCAGACGACAAGATTAGAAATGACCCGACGACTTGAAGGAGCCGACGAGGTTGGCAAACCGTTGGTCCGGACCGTGGTCAGGTGGTAATGGAAAAAAAGGGGGGGGGCAAGCGCAAGGTTGGGCAGTAGCTCTGAGAACTGATGGACTAGCGACTGACTAAAAAAGGGTGGTTGGGATTGAACGGGCGAGATCAAAGTGGAGGTTTAGTGGACGGACGGGTAAAGTGAAGTAAGATGCGGCTCGGACGTTTCGTTTCAGAGGAAAAGTTGGTTGTAAGAAAGTGGCGAATTAAGCTGATCGGAATGAGAAAGAGAAGTGAAGACGGTTTGATCGTGTAAACAAGTCCTCTGTCTATAAGTTCATAGGACTCGCAAAACTGTATAACGAAGACGTCATAGCACAAACCAACATACTTCATTCCTCCTTCTGTAGCTGATGAGAACATTTAAAACAATCACTCCTTCCAGCTGAAAAATCGATTCCCACTAAGCCAGAAAACACACTCCTGGCGGCGTGGTTGTTGGCTCCTACCCTCAGGGATTGGTACATTTCAAGAGGACGCCTCAACATGGAGACTCTTGGTCCACGTACTCTCCCAAGACCCTCCTGATGTCAAGGATGTCTTCGCTTAACGAAGCGTGACGCGTGCTTCTGGCACGTATTCACCGTCACCTCTGCCGCTACAATCACCATGGTTACCTGGCTCTGTCCATACTCGCTCCGCCTACAAGACAGCTGACTGTTGCGTCACGCTTTGAGACTATAGACGACTCGGCTTCGGGTTACACCTTTTATTTAGTTTGATGCAAAGGGCGGATGGAAGAGACTCGTAAATTGGTCGCATATGAACCTGGAAAAGGACTCGAAGCTATGAAGACCAAGATGGTGTGACCTCCAATAAGGTCGCAGTCTCCTTTCGATTTATACAAGTGGGTTGACCTCGTTGTCGCAACTTGGTCTTGTTGTCAAGGCAACTTAGTAGAAGGCACCTTGTCCGAAGTCCTCTGCCTCAATAGTTATCATAATTCCCAACATTAGATCATGGACTTGGTACATTCTCAGACGTTTCGCCGGCATCGTAGTCGGC